GTCATTGATTGATGATTATGACCTAGATTTAAATGTTGATTGAATGTTTGATTGATGATTGAATGGGTCCGGCTGACCTCATATAAAAATGAGGTCAACACCCGCCTCATTAAATTCATGCCCCTCTTCTACAATATGTGCCCTGTGACGTCCATCGCTAAAGAGTAGGTGGAAGGAACTGTCTGCATAAAAGTGAGGAAAGGGGGAGCACTACAAACATTCACAAAACTTCCCTAAAGATCAACACTGACACGGCTATAAGAACTCATGTGCAAGTTTGCCAAAGCAACTGTGTGAAAACCTCACTCACACTCCCTTGAATCCTACAACCTCACTCTTTCTCTCATTTGCTCAATGCTCTCTCTTCAACACTCTCATCGAGGAAACATACATCTGATTTCCTAAAGACTTTCAAAGTCATAACAAGGATTAAAAAAATATATTTTGACGCTTCTGTTCGCACAGTACAATACTTGTATTGTATAGTATGATTAGTTCATCCTTAGCTGAACGATCCAAATATCGACTTATATGATTAGTTTAATCGAATGCAGTTCATACAAGATGAAACCCGACATGATTGAGTATTCCCGATGTCCAGTGGAAAAAGAGCTAGACTTCTCCCAGGCAACCTCTCATCCCCTATAGACAATAGGTTTCAATCCGTTGACAATGAAACTTCATATCATCGTAATAGGGTCACACAAATCACATCATCTAGAATATTAAATTAGGGTGCTTTAAACTATCAATTACTAAATTTATTCGTCAGCATTACATTAGAATTCATCCTAACACTCGCATTTTCATTCCACTCTGAATTGTTGTTTGAATTTTTTACGAGTTTAAGAATCAATTTTGAACATACTTTATGGTCTCATATGTTTGTAGATGATCTATAGAGATTTTTTATCATGATTTTCATGAATTATTTTGTATTTCTACAACTGGCATTAAACCCCATGATGTTTGGACTACAGGTGACTATGATTGAACACAAGTGATCTCACTCTTAGGAACACACCTATTAACCAGCATCTACCATTAGTTTGCAATCTCGTCCCAAATACTTGTATTACTCGGCATGTTCTTAGAACCTCAATTCTTCATAAAGTTGAAGAAAGAGCCAACATCACACCCCTATTATTTATTTTGACTTACTTTTGTATAACTAGGCACTAGCACATAATTTAATACAATAGATAGAATTATTCATTATATTCAAAATCTTACAACATTAGGAATCCTAGAGCCCTACGTAGGCAGAATATTGCACTACGACACATCATAACCTACATACTAAATTCAAAATACAACATAATGTACCCTGCACCAGTCAATCACTTTCCTATCTTTTATACAATTAGTTCCTTCCACCTACTCTTCAGCAATAGACGTCGCGGGGCACAACTTGCAGAAGAGGAGTATGAATTTGATGAGAAAGCGGAAGCACTACCAGTACCTAGGGTACCAGCTTTTCAACTGCCAGCTCCTGACTCGTGGGTTGAGCTCTTTGATAGATTGGAGTTACAATTGGAGACCCACATCCAAGAGTCCACATCTCTCTGGGATCAATTACAACACCAGATACAACAACCACACGAGGATGATTGAGCTTCATTTAGCGATCAATTTACTTCACTATACCATTAATTCCAGCCACCACCACTATCACCTAATCAGAGTCTCTCTTATGAGTAGTTGCGATGCTTTGTCTTTTGTAGTGTGTGTTTGATTATTCTTTCAGCTTTTGTTCTTTCTTTTTGCTTTATATTATAATTTATTTGTAGTTCCTCTTTTTTGTGATGTCAAAGGGGGAGTACTGAGTTTATTTCTCTTGGTTGTACTATCTCGTTTATACTAGTGCAATTTATGTCATTTACATTTTTTTTTAATTTATTTACATGCAACGCTTATTCTGACTATGATTTGTATTTGCCCATTAAAAAGGAAAAAATTAAAAATAAAAAAAAAATCTCTCTATTTTTCAAAAAGAAATCACTTAGTGAGAAAGAGAGCTCAACAAGAAATTAAAAATTAACTTGGAATTTAAAATTCTAACCACCAAAATTTGTAGTCAACAAAGAGGGGGAGATTGTTGCAATCGACGACTCGACCATGTGTTTTGATGATTACAAATATTAACAGATATTTATTTTATTTTCTCCTACTTTATATTGCATATATATTTTTTGTGCATTACTAATATTTCTGGTTCAACATACACAAAGTACCATCAAAGAATTAGAGCTCAAGAAAATATGAGTCAATCTGCTCAAAGAGCATGTAATTATCATTTTTCTGAGTCAATATTTGTAATAGGTGTATGTTGGGTTAGCAACTGTGCGCATACACACATATAGAGTGTAATTAAATATTTTAATTTTCAGAAGATCGTATTGGACGATCTTGATTGTTATTGGATGATCTGTATAATAAAAAATTAATTAAAATATTTAATTAAATGAAATTAATTTTTAAAGTGCTATAACTAATCATGTTGTACGACCACAACATCATACAAGACGATCAACTATATTTGGTATCCCCGTTGTGATTTAAATTAGGCAACAATTCGAATTTTAAAATTATTCTGATCATATTGTACGAACAAGTTTATGATTAAGCAACTGAAGCAAGATTATTTAAGACTAATGATCATACGATAAGATCATGATCGTATTGAACAATCGTCGGAGCGACATGTACGATATTGAATCTTCCTAGGGGTTTGTCCCGTACGAATTGCATTCGGGGAACTAATCATAATGAACGATCTTGAATCATACAACAAATGATGAACTAATCATATGGTACAATACTCCTATCATATTATGCATACATAAGCGGCATAATTAAAAGAATAGAGTTTTCTTAATCCTCTATTTAAACTCTTGTTATGATTTTAAATAAGACTTTTGGTAGTCAGAGATTAGTTTTTTCTGTAAGAATGTTGAAGAGAAAACATTAAGTAAATGAGATAAAGGGTGAGGTTGTGTGCGAAGGAGAAGAGCCTTGTGAGATTCAAGAGAGAGTGACAGATTTTCATACGGTTACTCTGGCCAACTTGCACTTGCGTTCCTCCGGGTGTGTCAATGTTTGTTTTGAGAGAAGCTTTGTGAAGAAACTTTTGATGTCAAAGGTCATCGGCTACGCCGCCACAGAGAGGAGGTGAAAGGGATTTCGGCTATTCTAATGCACCGAGGAGATAAAAAGGATTTCTACATCTCCGCTAGACAGAGGAGGTGAAAAGAGAGATTCTATGAGAGAAGGGTATGTACGGGCTTCTTCGCCTAGTGGTGGGCTGAAGGAGATTCATATTGATTAGTACAATATTTGAAGAGAGGAACTTCGGGGAGTAGGCATATGTCAAGTTGACTGAATCACTATAAAAATCAATTTGAGTTCTTTTTCTTGTTACATTTACTTTTTGCGATTTTACTTTCCCGCATATTTATTTTTCTACAATCTGAGTTGAGTTTGATTATCATTAAGATACAAAAATCATTGTGATTGATTGAGATTTATATTTATTTTAAAAACAACATACAACAACATCAAGATTTTATCCCGTTACGTGGGGTCGGCTACATGAATCTTTTTTCACCACTGTATAATGTTAAGAGTCAATTTTTCATTTAAATCTAATAAAGAAAAGTTATTTCTAATATTTTCTAACCAAGTCTTTTTAGGTCTACCTCTATCTCTTTTAACAAAAGTCAAATCTAATACATCTACTCTCCTAACTAGGTCATCAGGAAACCGCCGTTTTATGTGACCAAACTATCTAAGGCGACTCTCTCTAATCTTATCTTCGACTGGAGCTACTCCAACATTTTCATGTATATGCTCATTTCACATCCTGACTCTAAAAGTAAAGCCACTCATCCACCTAAGCATCCTCATCTTTGCAACACTTAACTCAATATCATGCTTCTATTTTAATGGCTAACATTTTGCACCATAAAACATTGCAGGTCTCACCACCATCTTATAAAATTTTTTCTTAAATTTGAGGGGGACTTTTTTATCACACAACAAGCCAGATACATTCCTACTTCAACGATCCAACTTGAATTCTACTAATAATATCCCAATCTATTTCATCATCACTCTGAACACTAGACCCAAAATATTTAAAATGTGTACTATTATTAATGACTGGATCGCCCAAAGCCACAATTTCCCCACTAGATCTATTACTACTAAAATTACATTCTATATATTCGATTTTAGATATACTCAAATGAAAACCTTTAGACTCTAAGGTTGACCTCCATAATTCAAGTTAGCCTTCCACTCCCTCTTTAGTCTTATCAACAAGAAGAATATCATCAACAAAAAGCATACACCATGGTACAACCTCTTGCAAATGTCTAGCGAGAACACCCATGACTAAAGCAAAAAAAGATAAGTGCTTAAGGTTGATCCTTGATGTAATCCAAATGAAATAGGAAAATGCTTGGTCAAACCACCTTGTGTTTGAACACAAGTAATAGCAGTTGCATACATATGCTTAATGACTTGAATATAAGCATTATTAACCCCATCCTTTTCTAGAACTCTCCATAGCACTTCTCTTGGAACTTTATCACATGCTTTCTATAAATCAATAAATATCATATGTTATTTATCTTGTGTTCAAACAAAAATAAAAAATAATAAATGCTATTTGTTTTTCCTACAAAATCAAAAATAGAAAAAGATTAGTATTTATTTTGGGTTGTTATTGTGAGTTGTGATTTCGTTTATTAAAATGCTTCCACATTAAAATCTGATTTTGGTTTTAAATCAAAAAGATTTTTGAAAAAAAAAAATATAAATCACCAATTCACCTCTCTGGGTGTGTCATTTCAACATTCAATTGGTTTTACAACCAACTATTGAACTTCCAATGCTAAGCAAAGGAATTATCCAATCAACAATCAAGTAGAATGCAGCTTTCATAATAATAATAATAATAATAGTCCAATCAGATGGACGGGAGAAGATCCACATACCAGTCGAGTCATGCTATCAAATTCCTTTACAGCTTCAGTGAACTTTATAACATCTTCCTCATCCATTGAAGAGGCCAAATCCTGTAGTGGAAGCCACAGAAACATAATCTATCGAGGAAGTGTGACCATAATCTTATTAGAAACAAAAATCTTCATAAACAAATAGAAGTCAGTGGAAAATAACCAAATAAGCAGTTATAGAAGATTTTGTTAAATCTCACTAAACAGCAATTCATGGCATATTTATGACTTACAGATAGGAGTTTGAATTCACGTGTGCCAGAAAAGGTTGGATCAAGTTCCTGCACTAGCAATTATAAGTTATTCAAGAATACTCCCAGACAATCATGGAGCTTCAATTGTATAAAAATGGAACCATAGTTAACCTGATATCGCTCTAACGCATTTGTTATAGCAACGATGTCGCCTTTGCATATCTCACAGATACCGGCATTAAGGAGGATTCCCTTGACACTATACTTCAAAAGACTGTTATTGATCGAGTGCCTTGCTATGGCTTCAAAGATCTCAATTGCTTTTGGGTACCTGAGATTTTCACATGTATCTCTTAATCTAACAAAGATGTCATCGTCAGAAACTAGTAAAAACTGTGAAGATATAATTCAAGTAACTCTAAGTAGAGTTCATTGTAGAAGCTCAGCAGAAATTGCTGTAACAATGGAAGTTGGCATTCAATTGAAGATAAAATAAAAAATGGTCAATCTACTTATGTATTTGTTACATAGCCAATCATTTTACTTTCAATATCAATGGATGTATTGTTCCATAGCTAATCAATCTACATCCTGGCTTTTAATCATGAAAAGTGCAAAAAACTAATCAAATCATTGCACAATTAAAGAGATCATAGAATAAAAACAGAAATACATATTCATTAGCTTTCAATATCAAAACAATCCAATTTTAAGTCATCTTCATTTCTTGCTATTCCAACTGAGCACAAAATAGGGCAAGGGCAACTTTCGGCTAAGTCCTCAGAATCAAAACAGTAGCACATACTCATTTACTTTCAGTTTCTGAATAATCACTTTTGGTTATATACGTTTCTTACTGTTCCAGCTGAGCAGCAAATTGAGCAACCTTCTGTTTACACTGGTTGGCAGAAGTCGTCACCTCCTCACTTTGAAAAAGATCAGCTGCCCTCTCAAAGTAATCCATAGCTTTCTCCAAATCCTGTTCCTGCTCATATATCTCAGCAAGTTCCTGAAAAATGCGAGGTATAATGAAAAGGAGATGTTTAGAGAACGCATTCGGACTTTTAAGCATGTTATGAAAAACAATAGTAACCAGCTTTAGCTATAGAGCATCCACGTGAACACCCCGAAAGAGACAAATCATATGTAGCAGTAGGGGTGTCAAAATTTGACCCGACCCGAAAATCCTCATTTGTAAAATCGGGTCGGGTTCAGGTTGACCCAGAAACCCGAAATCAATCCGGTTTGACCCGTTTTTAATTAATTTAGGAGGATTTCAAAATATTGCTATGAAATAAATAAATGATATTTCTAAAAAATGACAAACATTATTGTCCAAATTAAATTAAGCTTGATTTATTTAATTTGATTGAAGTAAATCTTATCTTAATTTGATTTATGTTTAGATAAATCGAATTAAATAAAAAAATTTTAGTAAAACATAACCGAAGCGGGTTGGGTTCGGGTTCGGAAAACCGACCCGTATGCAAAAACGGGTCGGGTCGAACAGTGTCGGGTCAGTTTCGGGTTGGACCCGAACCTAGCTAGTGACTCGATTTTGACAGCCCTATGTAGCAGTCATATAAAAAGTTTAAAAAATGCGGTTTAAGTCCATTAATATGCTCAATTGTTTGTGTAACATTTTGTAATTAGAATGACAAAGTATGCATGCCAAAACTAACTGATGAGCCACATTTAGTACTTCATCTGCGCATCACTAGGTCAAAAGAATTTGCCCCAAAGGCACTAAAGTCAAAAAAAGGACGCATTGTATGCTAAAGAATGAAGTTATCCATACTAATGTAAATTTTTCCAGCAAGGCATCACGCCCTGAACTCGCCTGCAGCATGAGGCAAAAGAAAACATGCTGGTTTTATCAAATAAAGGCTAATCATTAAAAATATTAAACCAATCTTAATGAGACATTTTTAGCATAACTACAAATATTTACATAAACAAACGTAGTCTACATAAAACTGCAAGATCATTATATGCATAAACACTAAACAAAATACTTTAATGACAATAAGCCTGTTTGTTACCTAAGCAAGACAATTACTGGAGGTAAAATAGTCGAAATTGTAACAATCATATTATAACAACACAATCTTATGCTACAGACTACGTTTCAGAAGATCGGGAAATAAAGCATGCAGAAAGAAAACCATAAACAAATACAGATGAAGGGATAAAAATGGGGCGAATTGCAGATCTCATCTAAGATAAAAGATGAAAATCACATGAGTATTGCAATAGTAAAAGAACAAGAAAGAATGGACGTAAATAGATAAAATATCACGATGGTTTGACATCATATAGCGTAAATTCAAACGGTATGCCTGGCAAAATGGAAAAGAAAATTAGAATGACTTTAAAAAATCAATTATGCCTAGAATAGATTTAGTGACAGGCATTAGAGACATAATGAATCCTGAGGCGCTCACCATTATAAATAACATTACCAAAGAAAGCACAAGATTCAATTTATGTATTCAAACATGAGTTTAAGGCTTCGTTTGGGGCGACTTCCTGCTTCTTAAAGCAATTCTCTAGTACAAAAATTAAAATTTTTTATTAGAAAACTACTTTAAGAGCAGTACAAAAGCTGTCCCTAACGAAGTCTTAATCTCAAGAAAAAGCTAGTTTAAAAAATCCCAAACATGAGCAAACGTGCTTCCAGGAGATGACAATCTAAAGATGAGCTGACTAAGAGAGCAAAGGTAGTTCATTTGGAGTGAAGTTAACCCTGACTAATATGGATAAAGGTGAAGATTTATATTCATATAAGATGCATAAGGACATTTTGTGGAGTTATGTTAGACATTACAGTAGTTTTGTTAACACATTTTCCCAATAATAAATTTTGAAACTAAGATACAATAGTTTAGTTACCATATCTTTTCAATGAAAAATTTTGAAATGAAGAGGAGCTCAAATGATTGGAGAAGTATTTTGACATTAATATTTAAGAATAATGGAGAGGTTGGAAGTTGCATTGATTAGAAATGAATCAAATTGGTAAGTTATACAATGAAGCTACGAGAGAGGGAGAGTAAAATAACATAAACTTTCAAAAATTACATCAATTTTGGAGAATCAATTTGATTGCATGCCAAAAAAATCTACTATGGAAGTATTTTTTTGTTAACATAATGAATGGAGAAGTATAGAGAGAAAAAAAAAGGGATCTTCAAATAGTTTTTATTTTTTTCCTGAGAAGTCACACAATCAAGTACCAAAAGAATTAATTTGGTGTACATTAAGGAGGAAATGTATGCAACAAAAGCATATTGACTTTAATAAATATATGCATGATGGAGAACTAACTAGTACTAGTAGTTAAAGAGAGACCAAATAGTTTTTAGTTATAGTAGTATTATATATAGAATCAACATCAAATTCATATCTTTTAGTATTGATTATAAAATGTTTGCAAAATATATTAAAAATGAGGCGCTTGGTTGTATGCATTCAATAAATAGCAAAGCTCTATTTGGTGAAATATTTTCTAAAATAAGCGGAACGTAAGAACAATGGAGTATGCCATAGATATAAGACTAAGAATTAGTAGAACAAAATTCTAGTTTATGATACACAATTTTAGTGGTGCGTTGTAACAATTACTAATCAATAAAAGTAAAAGTATTAAAAATTTATCACTCAAAAGAATGGGGTACAAATGAAGATATAGCTTCTACAGTTAGGATTGGGTGATTAAAATGAATTCTATCAATAATATAAAACAAGTTGATATAATTGAGGCTTAAAGGTAAATTTTATAAATTACAAGGAGATCAATTATGTTGTAGGGATCAAAGTTCTTGAAAAATTTTTGATAATAGATAAGTTGAGCATGATAAAAGTGAGAAATTTAAGATTGAAATATGACATAAGTATGAAGGATAAATAAATAAATCTATTTGAGAAGTACTTAAAGTGATATCTAATGAAGAAAAACTAGTTGAAAATAAACTTGGGTGATTTTTACATAGCCAATGAAGAGAAGAAATGCACTCAATCAAATCATAGATTAAATTAGTGATAAAGGATTATAAAAACGAGCAGACATAAAATGACACAAATAGAAGTAGTTCAAAATGTTTTATGAATAATTCTATTAACCCCTCAAGCATAATTTAATAAAAATTAATAGATAAAAAGAAGATTCATCAAAGTAACCTCAAATAGATAAGGTAAGGCTACCGATGATAATGATGCTGGTGATGATGACGACAATACCTAGTAATGATTATCTAGAAAAAGGACATCCCATTGATACAAATACAAATTTATATAGAAAATATTTTGATGGTAGCACCGCTAGTTTATCTTTCTCTCTCTCTCTCTCTCTCTTTATATATATATATATATATATAAACAGAAAAAACAAGAAATGATCAAAAGAAAGGCATGCATGAAGAAAAGAAATCAAAGGATGCAAAGGATACATACATATATGTAAGTTCAGTAACTAAAAGTAGTTCAACATGTTCGATAATATATTTCTAATATTAGCTATTTATTGTCAATAAGAAAACTTAAAGATACATCAAGTGATAGAGATAATTAGAGAAAAATATAAAAAGGAAGATTAATTGTAAGAGAAATGAAATTAACATTGAGTTGAATATAACCAGGTTGGGGAGGTATATGTTGAGTACGTTTATTATTATCTTTAAGAGGCGCCCAATAAACATCAGAATTTTTTCAAATAAAAAAAAAAAACAGAGACAGCATCAGTTTCCTCCTACATGGCCCCAAACATGACATGATAACCATCTAAAAGTGCTTAACGATATCATCAAACTACCTGATTTCTTAAAAGCAATCACCCTTTCATAACCCGGGCTAATTACCTTGAAGTATCTTGCGGCCATGTTCAGTCTACCAATATCCAAGAAAAGATTGACAGCCTGGTTTAGACATTGTGCGGCTTCTGCAAAAATAAAAGATAAAAAATAAATAAAATGGAATCTTCATGAGTAGATATGACAAAAAAGCAAAACGTCTCAATTTTAGACAAAACTTTCTAGTCTGCAAGACATAAAGCTGATAACAACAGTGAAGCACAAGGCAGAAAGGGAGTAGTAAAGGCTATTATTAGTTAAAACTAAGGAGGGAAAAAAATATTGCAGACCAACAATTTTAATCCCATATTGACCATACCTTTAAATATGTTCCATGCCTTAAGTTAGTTAATCATGGCGTAATGGTTGATCCTTGTGGTATGAAATTTAAGAACATTCCATATTTTGCATGACAATGCACTATAAAACTGTATGTTTTAGTTAAGGCTAGGTAAGACTGATGAAGGACTTCTCAGTTTTAGGGTTTATTAATATAATCCTACAAAATAATGTACAAAAACATGCACAAAATTTCAAGCTTACATAAACTTCTAATTTGGACAATTATTTGCCTCATCTCATTGGATGAAAAGCAAAAATACACGCAAGTGATAATCTAATTATTGTTTAGCATAAATTTCATATAGAAATTAAGAAACATAAGAGAATCACACGTTTGATTGAAAACTCGCACTACAATTGAAAAAAGTCAAATTCTATAAAATTTGAAAAAAAAAAGTGATCACGCAATCAAACTAATTACTAAAATTAGAGAAATAGAACAATATAAGAGATCATGAGATAAATTCGAAGCCTCAGACAGATTAGCATCCAAATGAAGAAAGAAATTTAGTGGCACTTCGAAGTACATTGCACTTACAGCAACACATTTTAAAACTCCAGTGTATGTTGCTAAAGCAGTGTAGAAACAGCCATCAAAATCAACCATTCAAACTCAATATGTGAACATTTGGCATTTCTACCAAAGGTTTGCTTCTGGTCATATTCCATGGATACGCTGCTGCATTTCTCATAAAAACCAATTCATACAATAGATATATTCCTTTTCTTCAGCATCCCAAAGCCTTAAAATTTAATGAAGATAAAAAATAAAAATATCAACTAATAGAACAAAGCCTTTGCAATTAATCGCTTCAAACTAAAGTAATTTAAACATAAAAACTATATCGTTAGTTAAAAATGTAAATAACCTTGAGAATTTATCACTAGCATGTCACCCACCAGAATAATAGGAAGAAAATTTTATCCAACTTGTGAGCTTGTCACGATGTTATCAAGCAAACTAAGAAAAACATTCTATAGTTTTATGGCGTTAACTTAAAAATAAAAAAAAATTGGCGTTAACTTGCAGTCTTGCGCTGTTGTAGATTTTAGATCACATTGAATAAAACACAAACCAAACTTAACACTTCTAACCATGTCCAAGAACACATAATGGTCTTTCTACAAGCTCACTTGCTCAAGCAAGATAATTGAATAAAACTAGGAACTAGAGCAATGACCTTGAGCTGAAATTTTCTTGTAACTGTTTGCTGCATCCACATAAGCTGATGCTGCTTCATGCTTGCTTTCTAACTGTACTTGGGATACATATAATAATAAGAATTATGATTATTTAAATTAAAAAAATGGAAAAAAAAACAGTGTAGAAAAGAAATGTATGAACCTTTAGATGGCAATTTGCTAACTTGGTATATACTACTCCAGCTCTGTCCCCTGAGACATCAGGTTCTAGATGATAGTCAAACAATTTCCAACTTAAATGTAAGATCAATGAGCAAATATGTTAGAAAGATCATGACACCATTAAAATTGCACAGGGGTTAGATTGTTGAAGCAAAAAGAATCATAAAACAGGAGCTCCCTCTCTCTCTCTCACACACACACAACTTAGCTTTCAGTAAAGCATCAACCTTGGATTATGAAATCATAACTAATTTCTTCTTCATGAGTGCAACTGATCCAATAACAGCTTGGAGCTTTCTTCAGCTCCTGAAATACCCAAAATCCATGTCATCACCCACCCACCCTCTCATCATTTCTATCATCATGACCTCGCTCTATCTCTCTTCATTTCTATCACCATGATAGTCATTGTAGCTATAACCATATTTAAATCCATTGTTCTCACGTATGTTCGCCACTTCCATCACCGCCACCTTCAGATCCATGATTCTCAAAACGTACATGGCTTCACATTGCATCCACATAATCAGCTTCATCTAGTTACCTTCATAGCTGCCACCAATATCTCCGCCTCCATCACCACCCCCTCAAGCATCCCTGTATTTAAAAGAGCTGCAACTGACCCTTGTCATACAAAATAGAATCAAGTAATGTTTTTGGTGCATGGGTCCAACAGGTTCAGTTAACACTGTCGTTGCCAGGTCCCTAGTCCTGGATGAGAAAAGTGGAGGGTTGCGTTAGGTAGTCGACAGCCAGCGTAAAACTTGTCGAACAATAATGACATGAATCCTTTAATAAATTGTGTTAATGCTAGGGTGTCCCGTGGAAACGACGTGCAAGTGTCGCTGCACCGGCGCCCGGGTGCAGTGTTAAATAGGCAAGGGTTCCCACATCAAGGACGGATGTGGGCAAAGAAGCTAGTCCATGAAACTAAAATTAGGATAAGAACTTGGAATATAGGTTCCCTTACAAGAAAATTAATGGAATTAATAAATATTATGATTCATCGGAAGTTAAATATTTTGTGCATTCAGAAAACTAAGTGGGGTGAAGAGAAGACTAAGGAAATTGATAGTTTAGGATTTAAACTTTGGTATTCGGGTAGGAGTCGTACTAGAAATGGTGTATGTGTTATTATATATAAGAGTTTAAAAGATAATGTTATAAAAATTAATAGGATTGGAGATAGAATTATAGCTTTAAAGATTGTTGTTGATGATAATATTGTTAATATTATAAGTGCTTATGCTCCTCAAGTAGGTTTGCATATGAGTTCTAAATTAAATTTTTGGAATGACTTAGAAAAATTAATACAAAAGATACATTTTTAAGAAAAGAGTTTTTATTGGAGGAGATTTAAATGGACATGTTGGTAGAGAGGTAGATAATTTTAAAAGCATTTATGGTGGCCATGGATTTGGAACGACGAATGAAGGTGGGTCACTAATCCCGTCACTAGAGTCTATTACTACTAAATTACACTCGCATATATTCGTTTAGATGCTACTCAAACGCGAACACCTTTAGACTTAAGGTTTGACACTCCCATAATTCAAGTTACCTTCAACTCCTCATCTCTATCTTAATCAATCAAGAAGAAATATCATCAGCAAAATAAACAATACAACTACAGGTACATCTCTTGGCAACATGTCTAGTGAGAACATCCAGTGACTAAAGCAAAAAGCATACGGGGCTTAAGGCTTTCGTTGATCGTAACCACCGAAAAGGGAATACTTGGTCAAACCACCTGTGTGTTGAACAGAAGCAATATCTCCTGACATACATATCTTAATGATTGGATATAAGCATATTGACTCATTCTTTTCAAGAACCTCTCCATAGCATCTTCTCTGAAACTTTATCATATGTTTTTCTAATCATAAATATCTATTGTAGATCCTCCTTATTTTTCTATATTTCTTCCATCAACCTCTTAATAAATGTATGGTCTTTCCAGTAGTCGACCTACCCGGCATGAATCCAAATTGTTTTGAGAAACATTAGTATCTACCCGCAACTATGCTCCATAACTCGCTCCCAATAGTTTTAAAGTATGACACATTAACTAATACTCATAATTCGTCAAGCATTTGTGCATCACTTTTATTCTTAAAAATAGGAAATTAACACCACTCATTCCCACTGCATCGACATCTTTTAGTCTTCAATGTTAAAAAATCTTAGTTAAGGCCAAGTTTAGAAAGCAGATTTGTTCATCTCCTAAGCATTTCCACACCTTTATTGAATATCATCAGTCCATACAGCCTTTTCCACCATTCATTTCTTTAAACCTTTTCTTCTAACTTTAGTCTTTACAATGCGCTCTGATATAACAACAGAAATCTTTATTTTCTTAGGGTCTAAGATCACTTATAGTCAATCTTTTTTCATAATCTCATAAAAAGTTTAGCACAAAATATCTCATCCACCTTTTGTTGATTATCATCTTCTAACAAAGTAATTTTTGATCTTCATCTTAATAACTTGCACTTGAACTAATCCTTACTACCGCTCCCTATCTCTTTGTTTGGCTACTCTTATACATATATCTTATCCTTCTCTAGTAATTTAATCATTATATAATCATAAATCTAATGTCTTTGCATCGCAATATGCTTTCTTAGAATCCTTACGAGCCACTTATATATTTTCCAATTATCAGAATTTTACAAATTAAATCAATTTTCATAACAAATTTCTTATTTTTAATCTTTTTCTTGGCACAATTGGATTTCGACCACCAACTATTTTTACTATTAGGCAGCTTTCAATTTTGATATCTCCAAGCACATCTTTTGCTTATTACTTCATATCACTAGTCACTTTTTCCCACATAAATTACATCCTCGCTATGCACAGACAAAATTTTAAGATCTAAATCTTACTCTCAAAAATAAATTTTGTAATATTCTTTGAAATGCCCCATCTAATCCTAGAAAAAACGTTTTACTTTATTTTTTTATTTATGCCATTTATCTTAAAGTCCAAACAATAATATCGATGTGGAGTACATAAATTTTCACTCAGGTATAACTTTACATCTTTGCCAATCTAAAAACGATTTAATTTTCTAATAAAAATAGTCAATCTGGTTGTACTAATCCATTTTT